TGTCCCCAGATGTCCCCACCTTGGCCTTGGCGGTGCCGGGCGGGAGCCGGTCCAGGGCCACGGTGAGCGGGAAAATGACCTCGTCCTGGGAGATGATGGGATCGTCCACGGGGAGCTGGGAAAAAATGGGAAAAAATTGGGAAAAATTGGGAAAAATGGAAAACCCCAGGAGAAGCGGCAGCTCGCCGCCCCCGTGTCCCGAAATTCCCGGTTTTCCGCGCTCACCCCGGCCCCGGCGCCGCCCGGGGGGCCCCGGGCGTGCGTCAGCAGCGCGCGGCACTCCCGGAAGAGCGGCGGCTCCCGGGGCTCCTCGGCGCCGCTCCCGAAATTCCCGGCGCTGCCGTCGTCGTCGTCGTCGTCGTCCCGCGCCCGGCTGTCCCCGCTCGTCACCGTGGCCAGCGCCGACAGCGACGCCGCCAGCTGCGCCCAGGGCGAGCCGTGGGCGGGGTCTGTGCTGAAATGGGCGTGGCTTGAGCCCGAGTGGGCGGAGTCTGCGCTGAAATGGGCGTGGCTTGAGCCCGAGTGGGCGGAGTCTGCGCTTGAGTGGGCGGGGCTTGAGGCAGAGTGGGCGGGGTTTATGCCGGAGTGGGCGTGGTTTGAGGCAGAGTGGGTGGAGTTTGTTCTGGAGTGGGCGTGGTCTGCGCTGGAGTGGGCGGAGTCTGTGCCGGAGTGGGCGGGCGTTCTCTCAGGTTTGGCGGGAATTCCATCGGGATCGGCAGGAATTCCGTCGGGATTGGCGGGAATTCCATCAGGATTGGCGGGAATTACGCCGGAATTGGCGGGAATTCTCTCAAGATTGGCAGGAATTCTCTCAGTGTTCCCGGGAGCTCTCTCGGCGTTCCCGGTGTTCCTGTCGGCGTTCCCGGTGTTCCTGTCGGCGTTCCCGGTGCTCCTGTCGGCGTTCCCGGTGCTCCTGTCGGCATTCCCGGTGTTTCTCTCAGTGCTCCTGTCGACATTCCCCGTGTTCCTGTCGACGTTCCCGGTGTTCCTGTCAGCGTTCCCGGTGTTTCTCTCGGCATTCCCGGTGTTCCTGTCGGCGTTCCCGGTGTTTCTCTCAGCGCTCCTCTCGGCATTCCCGGTGTTTCTCTCAGCGTTCCGGTCGGCGTTCCCGGTGTTTCTCTCGGCATTCCCAGTGTTTCTCTCAGCGTTCCGGTCGGCGTTCCCGGTGTTTCTCTCGGCATTCCCGGCGTTCCGGTCGGCGTTCCCGGTGTTTCTCTCGGCATTCCCGGCATTCCCGGCATTCCGGTCGGCGTTGCCGGCGTTGCGGCGCAGCACCAGCAGGAAGCGCACGGTCTCGCCCAGGTACAGGTGGTTGCGGCGCGGCAGCGCCCGGTATCCCGAGGATTCTCCCGCCAGCGACTCCCGCGGCGGGAAGGGAAC